GTCCCACTCCTGGGGTGCCACTCTATCCCACTCCAGGGGTGCCACTCTCGGGGTGCCACTCTAGGGGTGCCACTCCATGGGTGCCACTTCGGGGGTGCCACTCCCGGGGTCCCACTCCCAGGGTGCCACTCCAGCAGCTCCAAGCTACAGCTGATACCTTTCCGAGCAAGTTGGTCATTGTCCCCGAACATATCTTCAACAGCGTTGCTCGGCGCCGTCTCTCTGGCATTGATGGTCTCCACTTTTCCTGTTGAGCAGACAATTAGATCAAAATGGTGACCCCCCTCCGACCCCGACCCCTTTCCACAGTAAACATTCAGACACGGACCTGTGGAGGCGTTGTAGATGACATAGTTAGACCCTCCTCCTATGCCGACGCTGTGCGCGTTCAACAGGCTGACACACAGCAGAGTGGCGATTGACGCATCAACGGCGGAACCGTTTTTCTTCAGTATGTCCCTGGAATTCACAACAACAGGAACGGCGAGTGTTTCGGAACGGCACAGAAAGTTTGATCGAACGTCTGTCCCAGAACTCCGGCGGATCTCACCTCCCAATTTCCGAACAGGTCTTAGCATCGGCAGCCACTGCAGCCTTCGAGAAGATGTTTGAGGGGGGGGACACCAGCAAGAAGAGGAAGACCCCACAGGCGAGGCTCACTGCTGCCACCAGGAGGACAATCAGAACCCTGATCCTGGGCTTCTTGTTCATTTTGCTGAAAAATAGAAGAGACACAATCGTGTGACGAGTCTTTAAATTCGTAAAATAAGAAAACATTCTTCTTTGGGGAGTGCGGGGGTCAGTGGGAGTAGGCCACTAGGGGCAGTAACTGCACGATAGAATTACTTTTTTTGTTTACAGGTTTGGCTAACTTTGCTTATAAGTATATATTATAGCATTAAATCTTGTTTTTATTTTTATTTTATTTTTTTTGCAGATTAATCTGATTAAAATTTGTAATCTGCGAAGAATAACATCTAACAACATATCGTTGCTCTAATACACGCTCAGTACACTCAGTACTGCAGTTTATTTCATATATTATGGATATATATATGTCTATGTGTTTCATCTTTTTTATTCCAGTTTCTTTTTCTATTTTTTAAGGAAAAACTGGAAACCTGTTTTCGTGGGGCGGTGGTTGGGGGGTGGAGCCTATTCGGCCCAGGGCGCCAAATAAGCTAGCACCGCCACTGGTCCCAGGTCTCGGCTGGGAAGTCAACATAGCAACGCGTGGCGGTTTGTGAGTGAGTGAGTGAGTGAGTGTGAAGGACGGTATTTCCAGCTACACCAGAACCGTCAGATGACGGTGCACCGGTCCGAGGGGAATCGACAGCCTCGGCTGGTTCTGGGCTTCCGTGGTGTCCACTGAGCCTCGCGTTCGCCGCTGCAGCTCCAGTGTAAGATGGGCTCCCGGCTGAGCAGACAGAGCAGTCTGGACAATGAGCACTTCTGCAGGAAGCGACGCAAGCTCCTGGGCAGAGCCGCGGGGAGCGAGCGCGGCGCGGGTCGAGGCGGCGGAGACTTTCTGTTCGCCCTGATGCTGAAATCGGACAAGCTGCCCGGGATGCTGCGCAGGAGCAGCGGCCACAGCCCGTACGTGAGACGGGTGGCGCGGATCAAGGAGATACAGAAACTGCTACGTGACCGCAGGATGGAGCAGGCGGGCGACGTGCTCAAACTGCTGAGGAAGGTGA